GGAAACTTTACATTAAGTAAATTGATTTAAGGTCATTCCCCAGTATTGCATTGCGCATCCCTACTGCGCATAATTTCACGCGTGATTAGCGTGATTGGCGGCTTTTTCTTTGCGGCTGGACCTCGCCATAGAGGTAAATCGTCATTTTCTCGAAAACCGGTATGGTGACTTATCATTTTTTTTCTGTTGTGTTGAATTGAGTAGTTAGTTTCTCTACGTAAAATAAATATGGGCTAATTCTCAGTGTTGAACAAGAAACAATCGTCGGAAACGTGATTTTAGCAAGCAATCGTGACTATAATCATGGTGCTATTGTAAAGATTTATATGGTACAAACAAGGTGCTGTTGCTCCTAAACGAACATGGGGAGCCTTCATTTTTATTTCCAAATTTAAATTCCTACAATATAAACAGTCAATAGGCAAAGTTTGACAAAAATCTCAGTGCAGGTTCTATTTCAGTGGAATGACCTTAAAACAAAATTAATGCGATGAATTGAAAGAAAACACAAACAAAACGAATGATACTTACAAACTGATTTGTTCCCCCAACAAACACATAGAAAGAAAAAGACTAAATTTAACTGTTTACATAAATTAACATTTTATTGTTAATAGGAATTAGTATTCTATTTTATCAATAAAGACTAAAAAAGTTATTAGTTAAAGGTAATATTACTTTCTTCCTTTAAGAAATTTATTAAGGAGAAAATACTAGACCACCAGCTAACGTTACGTTAAGTAAATTGAATCAAAAGAAATTGATGCGATGAACTGAAATAAAAGTGATACAAGCTGATGTGTTCTACACCGTCGACAATAAATGAGAAAGATAAAAATGAAGTATTAACAGGAATTAATATTTTACTCTCATATTTCAATTTCACAATTTTATTTAATTGAAAGAAAGCATTTTCTTCCTTTAAAGAAATTAACTCAAGAAAAAGAAACACCAGAGCACTGTCCAGGGAAACTTCACATGAAATAGATTAGTTAAAACGAAATTGATTCGCTGAATTGACTATAAAAAGACACTTATGAGCTGATTTGTTCCTTAAAGGAGCTCAGTCACGGTTTGCACATTTTGAAAAGTTTAGCCTAAATTTTTCAAATTCGTCGTTTGCAATCCGTGTCAATCTTCGACATCCTTGACCATCCTCGTTCCTTTATGGTTTATTATTATATCTTTGGTGTTTTTCTATCCTGTTAAACTATTATTTTCAGGTTTCCTTGCATTTAAAGGAGATTTTGTACGTGGCCAAAAAAAAAAGAAAAGACAAAACAACCTGATTAAGCCCCGTTAATATTGACATGAAATGTGGTTTCCGCTAGCTGAGGAAATAATGAGGCGGAAAACGTTTTTCTCACACAAGGATGAGAGCCTGAATACAAGTGTATGAGGGGGGGGGGGGGGGGGGGGGGCTTTAATGGTCTGCGGGCTTCACGTGCTCTATTTGAAAATCCCTGCCAATGAGTATCCTCCTGGTATCCTTGGATTTTAATACAAACACCAGGAAAAAAATGAATGTA